TCTGAATCTCCGGCAGGTTGTCAGGATGCAGCTTCGATGGTTGCTAGGGGCGTGTCTGTGGTTGCTATGCATCGAAGAGGTTCGGACAACAACCTTCAAGATCGCCTTGGTCGGTCCGTGGTCATGTGACCCGTTGTTTTCCCGGGCGATGCCGACAGCAGCGGTCACGCTGGCGTTGTCCAGGTTACGGACTGACACCAGTATGAGCAGAGGGTACTGGTATGATGTCAAAGTGCTGGACGAGGACTGCTCCGCCTCCAAAGGTCTGTCATCCAATCAGCCAACAGGACCTTAAAATAAAGTTCAGTAAAATATTTAGAAAGAGATTACCTTTAGTTACAGTTACAGTTACGGTTAGTTACACTAGAACAAAGTGGTACAGGGTTAACCAATCACACAATGATGAGTTAGCAGCCAATTATTAGACCCCCTGTTAAAAGGGTTTTTTTTCTTTCCCACTGTCGCCAAAGCGCTTGCTCATAGGGGGTCATGTGATTGTTGGGTTGTTCTCTGTATCTGTTATTGTACGATCTACTGTACTGTATAAAGCTCCTTGAGGCGACTGTTGTTGTGATTTGGAGCTTTATAAATAAAATTTAATTGAATGAACAATCAGAACACATTTAATAAAACTAATAAAACATTTAATAAAACAAGCAGACCTTTTAATTTGAAAGGTCTGCTTGTTAGTCACATATTAGACCACTCCCACTCGAAAGGATCATTAGACATTTAATCAGTCATATCAACACACGCTTATTTGAAGTGTGTTTATCATCTTACAGACTGGAGTAAGTGAAATATTTTTTATTTCCTTATTTTTATTTGTGTGATATTTGTTTGACCTTTGACCTTTTTATTTTAGCTCTGACCAACTTTGGGGACTTTGAAGGTTACGGCTATGCCTACATTGGACCCTTTAACCCCGCCCTCTGTCACTCTGCCTCCCTAATGACTGAGCATTGGGAGGCTGGACTCGCCTCTCCCGGTTGTCTAGATACTGACTGGCCAAACCTGCCGCCACTGACTCCTCCCACCAGAGTCCTGTTCACCGTGCTCAGATTTTTCGGCTGGGCGCATGTCAGCATCATCACAGGTGAGGGTTTGACATCACAATCAGAGTGGTGGGGTGGTTCTCACCATAATCTCTTCATTCAAACTGGTGTTACTTTAATTTAGTCTGAGCTGGTTATCTGATCTGAGCGTCACCATTTAGACTGTTACGCTCACATATTAGGCCCCATTTGTTTGATTTTGGTGGTTTGACTTTTACTGCCCATCGGACTGTAACTGCAGTGGTTCATTGGGACATCACAGAAGTGGAGGTGTTTTCTGTGAGGGCTTTAACTTAACCATTGTTACTTCTGAGCTTCTGGATGGAGATAGAAGTGAGAGCTGGACCCAGTTTAACAGTATCGACATGTTCACCAGGACTCTTTCACCAAGGACACTTCTTGCTGACAGGAAATCCTCTCTACCAAAGTAAAGTACAGAGATAGACAGAGACAGCTGGAGGTACAACAGATCCACTGACCTTCTGATCCTCCAAGTCTGATTTCACCATTCTGAAGGGAAAAGGAGACATCATTGACCGAGCCCTTCTCTTTATGGACCCATCCTTAATGTCCAGACGGCTGTGATCATCTCGTCTTCTCTGTGAGAGTAAAAAGCAGAGAAATGTCAGGTCAAGTGGCTTCAGTGTTATTGCAACCATGTGCAGTATTAAACGAGACAGCGTTCCACACACTGTTCCTCACACTGTTCCTCACACTGTTCCTCTCACTGTTCCTCACACTGTTTCTCTCACTGTTCCTCTCACTGTTCCTCACAGCGTTCCTCACACTGTTCCTCACTGTTCCTCACACTGTTCCTCTCGCTGTTCCTCACACTGTTCCTCTCGCTGTTCCTCACACTGTTCCTCACACTGTTCCTCTCACTGTTCCTCACACTGTTCCTCTCACTGTTCCTCACACTGTTCCTCACACTGTTCCTCTCACTGTTCCTCACACTGTTCCTCTCACTGTTCCTCACACTGTTCCTCACAGCGTTCCTCACACTGTTCCTCACTGTTCCTCACACTGTTCCTC